AAATCCGCACCTCTGTTCGTCAAGCTCACCGTCGAGCCGTTCGCGAGCAGCCTCGGGCCCAGTCCGTCGAAGGTTTGCTGTTGAGTTCCAAAGCCGGTTGTTCGACCCGCTTTCGGACCCGTTTACCATCCGATTTCTCGTAGTTTCCCGAAGTCGGGTAACTTATTCGAATCCTCTCGTTAATACGATCGTTTTCATATATTACACGTTATATATATGATGTGTTCGGTTTACCGAAAGTTGATTTGAAATCGGATTGTTTTTGTTTCATTTAATTGTTCATATGTACATGTCGTTTATTCGTGGCTTTTCGGAACTGATCGGAACTCTCGATTTCATAAACGGGTATATCATTGCGTAGATGTGGTAAAATCCTTTAAGTACGGAGTCTCGTTTTATCGTTTTCTGAGCCGTATAATTGCCGTAATGTGTCCCGAACGAACTTGTATTACATCCCAGTTTAAAGGTTCTGTAATCTGTTGTTTTTAAAATCCAAGTTTTAAAATTCAAGTAAATAACTTTTCAAATTAACAAACAAGCAGCCCCTGTAGCCTAGTGGTGTCTGCGCCATTTGTTGAGTGGAGGGTCGCGGGTTCGAACTCCATAATGGCATGTTTCCTTTTTTATTTGATTTCCAGCAGGCTTGTCTTTAAATTTATCTTGTGATGTTTGCAATTTAAAACGCAAGCCAGCGTGTAGCACGGTGGTCATCCGTGCGCTATTTCTTGGGTGAGGTCGAGTGCTCGAACCCCAGCACCTGCAGAACATTTTTTTTTTTTTATTATTTGAGTAGAGCTCCAGCGCGGGCTGTAAAGCCCGCATTAGGCCCGCGCGCGGCCCGTCCTCTCATGCTGTAGCTACGGCCCGCGAGCCGCGTCCAGCCCAGTCCCAGCCCGCGTGCTTTCTTATAAAAAGGGGTGTTGGGCCAGCCCTTTGAGCGGCCCAATTAAGCTTATTAATTCCAAATGTGTTGGCATTTTGGCCCAGTTTTATCACATTAGCCCAATTCGCCTCTTTAAGTCAATATTTGTATTTTTAAAATCGTTTTTCATACCGTTTTCAATTTTAAAAATATTTTTAAATAATAAAATTTTTGGGAAATATTATTTTAAGTCCCGAGACTCCAAATTAATTCTCCGAGTCCTATTTTTAATAAATGAGAGAGTTCCAAGTCCACGAAAAATTCGATTAAAACCCGTAAGACTTAATTTTTATTAAGTATGGGTTTTATGTTAAATTCTAGTAGTGAGATAGATTATTGATATATTATCTCGCTTAAATGTAGGTGTTTGAGGAGTCGAGCCCTCATCCTACGTACTTGTGATTGTGTGCTATTTTCTACCGAGCTATCCAGGTGGGTTCTAATCTAAAATTGTCTATGCCATACGTGTTATTTAATGTTTAGTTGGTATGACCAATGTATGAATGTGAACCATGTGATCTATCGATGTGAGCTGTTACGGCCATCGGTACGGTCGTCCCCGTCGAGTTACGGTACGGTTGCCCTTGCGAGGCAAGTCTCCTTAAGACCTAATGAAAGGTCGTGTCCGTTACAGTGGCACACACTCCCGTCGTTAGGGTTTATGCATCCCCTTTCCGCGGCTAATGATAGATGTGCACATGAGTGAGTTATTGTTGTGATTATTAGGAGATGAGACATGATGATGATTGATTTATATTCATGCTGCGACCATACCATCTTTACATGTTATTATGTGCATAGTAGTGAGCACTACTTTATCATTTGTGCTCATTCCCACCTGCTCGTTACGAATGCAGGTTAAGCAGTGGCCGGATGACGGGACGAAGGACGAGTGGTGGTCCATTATGTGTTTATTTATGCTTCCGTTTTAAATAATATGATCGTCATGAACTTGTATTAA